GAATTGATATTCAATTATTTTTTGTGAAATTACTCCACTAGTTTGTTCGAACACTTAGAAAAAAACTCAGAAAAAATTCTTCTTTTTTTTCAGATCTTTGTATTAATAATTCTAACAAACTAGTGGAGTAATTTCACAAAAAATAATTGAATATCAATTCAATAAAAATTTAATTAAATAACGTTAGTTGTAGGGACGGCAGTACTACAGATACACAATGACAACAAATATCAGACAATTGTATGAAAAAATATTCGGCCATATTTATTGCCAAATCAAAGAGACAACTTTATATAATGTTTCGCAAACAGAAATCGATGGGAGACAATCTTGATTTTTCTAATTCTTTGTTTTGATACCTACTTAACACTTGAGACTTGAGACTTGTCTCATGCGTCATTCGTCAGGCAGCAACGCATAATATACGCCAAAGTTATTACCTCTGCCCTTTATGGTTTTCCCGTAAAGTTCAATCAACAAACCATCAACAACACACAACATTTATGTCGCAAAACCTTCTTGGTTTAACATTTTATTTTTTATTTTCCTTATTGATATATGTCACCTTCGTCGGTATCCGATATACTGTATCTTTCAACCCGGACAGTAGCAGAATTGTCCTCAGTGGGACAGAAGCCAAATACCTAAAAAAAAAGTAGTTTTTTTGTTAGAACAAATGTTTCTATTTTAAATACCTGTAAAATAAACGGAAATTATCTCCCAATTCAGTAAGTGTTTTAATAAGGAAGCAAAGGCTGCGGCCTGCCGTATCGTATGTCCATGTTAGAACCTGAAATTATCCCGAACATCTGGTGACCGTTGTGATTAAAGAAAATGGATAGAATACTATTAGATCGCAAATTAGCGAGACGAAGATTTACTTTTAACGCAAATTAATTAAAAGAATATGTTAATAAAGAGGAGATGTCGAATATTTGTGCAGAGTTCAAGAAGTTGAGTATGCATCATGACGAGTTTAGAGCAGCCAGTAAAAGAAATAACAGACTCAGCAGAGCGTTCTGTGTGTGGTACTGTCAAGTGCAAGCGCTGTGGGTCAGGAGATGGTTCAAACAGCTTCGGCAATGCGAAACGACCACTTACCGAAGCTGGATCTGCCACCGTTCTGGGCGCAGTTCAAGAAGATTGACCCTGACGAGACCATAGACAAAGAAGACGAGCTCCAATATTTGATCCAAAGTATGGAGGTGGTGACAGGTGCACGAGAGCTAGTGGAAAGCTTCCCTTCGTCAGCAGAGAATTATCATAAGGTACTCGAACAATTGAAAGAACGATTCGCGAGAGATGACTTGCTGACGGAGTTTTCTGTACGAGAAATGCTTCAATTAACTTTAAGTCAAGCCAAAGGACCTACCAGTTCTTCTCTGAGGTCATTATACGATAAAATCATGACACAATTTATGGCGTTAGAGTCGCTTGGCGTTACACGAGAAAAATATGCGGCTTTCTTGTTTCCATTAGTTGAGTCGGCGTTGCCAACAGATATATTACGTGCGTGGAATCGGTCTCAACTGCAAGGTCAACCGGGAAGTCAACTAACTAAATTACTTCAGTTCGTGAGACTAGAAGTAGAATTTGAAGAAAGAAGAAATAAATCTGACTCGTACTAATCAAGGTAGAGACTATGAGTTTTCTGACACGCCAGGAAATACACGCTGCTGAAGGCAGCAGCGTGTTTTTCAACAGTAAGTAAGAGCAAGAACGTTAAAATGTAAAGCCAAAGGAGAAAGATCAAACTGATAAGGTCTCTAGAGGAAAGACGTGATTTTTGAAGCGGAAAAACGCAAGCCATGTATGTTTAAAGGTCGGTCACATGGCAATGAAGTGCAGAAAACATGTAAAATGTATTGCCTGTGGAAGACGACACTTTCCTATCATGTGTGAAAGTTTGTTTGGCCCAAAACAAGAGGTGTCGGAGAAATCGAAAGATGGACAAGCAGCATTAAGTCAAGTGACGTCTTGTCAAAATACCATATTACTACAAACATTGATGGAATATATTAATGTAATAAATGGAAACAAAACGGTGACAGTACGAGCATTGTTAGATTCAGCAGCTCAGCGGTCATTTATAAAGGGAAGTGTAGCGGAATATCTACAATTGAAAACTATTGGTCAAACAGAGATGAACCATACATTATTCGGTGGAGTAGTAACTCAGAGGAAAAACCATAAGTTGTATGAGTTAATTATTGAGAATATTGATGGTAGTCATCAAACTAAGATACAGGTCTTAGAGCAAGATAGTATCTGTGGTCATTTACCTAAAGTTAAGTATGGTAGTAACTTATTGTCAAAGTTACAGCAAAAGGGTGGCCATATGAATGATGTCAAAGATATCAGTTTATTAACAGGTTCTGATTTTTAGGTAAATTCTGGATCCCGATGGGATGGTCAGTACGGATTGATGATTTGCTGGCTATGGAGACTAAATTGGGTTGGACCATCCAGGGCCCTACAAATGTGGTATACCACTGTAGTACCAATGAACTGCAGTAAAGTGCACAGTTTTGTACATTTGATATTGAGGAAATTAGAATCTTTGGGAATCAGAGATGACACTAAGTTAAAAACGAAGACTAGCGCTGAGGAGGAAG